GGTCTCACACAAGAATAAAGAAATTACACTGTAGCAGGTATTTTCTGGACCCTTTTTTTATACAAGCATTAGCCCATGATCTGAACAGTAGCTAAGACTGAAAAATGAGACACTTGGATTTACTGACTCTTCTGGTGGTGAGAGATCTTTCCCAGGTAAATTAACAAATGTTCATTGAAAACACATATGCTTAAGGGAGAGAGTTGGAAATGAAGAAAAAATGTGCCCACAGTGAGAATTCCAGTAAATCCCAAACTACAACTTGCAATGAATATAAGAGATAAATGAGTGGTTAATTCTCAGAAGAAAAACAAAGGAAATGGAAATTAGGAAACCTTTTCTTTTATAATGAAAGAATTCTGATATAAGGAAAGTAAGTTATTCAAAGTGACACAGCACATATTAAACAGAAAAGAAGTCCAATTATTTGCAAGCATGCCCACTTACAGTTAATCTGTAATAGAAATTCATGCAGGTCTCTTCTAAACAATGACTAACCTGATCCAACACGAAATAGACACTTCTTAAACAAAATCATAGAACATGTTATGGGAGTTACCAATTATTTTTGATCATTTATAAGCTAACACTCTTTCTTCAATGTTTCTAGTATCTGTAACATTTAATTAAGAAGCAAAGACTAGGATTATAGAGATCATGACTCCACATATTTCTTACTTGTATTTCAAAGTATAATCATATCATGATGACTTGTGATCTTCATAGGGTACAACAAAATAATACATTTGAACTTTTCCTTATTTAAAAAAATATCAATTTATAGAGAATTACTACGAGGTACTTCAGAATATCCCAAGCCACATACCATAATTCTAAAATGCAGAAACTGCCGTAAACTTATTTTGCAACTCTCAAAACCAACTGTCAACGGTTCTAGGCCCAGGATAAGTGTTCAATTTATACTCACAAAATTTCATTGAATATTCAACATCACTCACGAACACACATATATTCTTCATGTATGAAAAAAATTTTGAGATCAAAAATTTCCCACACTCATTTCTAACTAGAAACTCCCATTGGGTTTTGAATAAAAAGATGTATTAGGTATTACTCAATTGGGTGACAAGGTTAATAGTCCCCATTAAACAATAATATGTTTTTTATTCTGCAAAGATTAACACAGGTGTGAAATAGGGGTTGGCCATGCCCAGAGCATATGTCCAAGACAACACAAAAGCTGGTAGTTACTTGGCATCTGAGCTGGTTGTCCCTGACATGGTCCCTTCCCACGGCCACTTTGGCCATAAATGAAATTTAACTGCAAACGCTTCTCTTTCCTACACCATATCCAACTTCCTTGGTGCTAGTAGTTTAAGGACACACACACACACACACACACACACACACACAATTTAGCTCAAAAAGCATTGACTATGTCCACTACCAGGTGCCATGCAGGTGTCGTAGATACAGTGGCAAAAGGTACAGCCTCAGATACAGTGACAAAAGGTACAGCCTCAGGGGTCAGGCTGTCTGCATTCACACCCCAGCTCACCCTTCCCTAGCTAGCTATACAGCCTCACGCAAGTTCCTCAGCCTTTTTAAGCCCTGGCTTCCTTATCCGCAAAATGAGCATAGTAATAATACCTACTTCATGGAAGTTTGGAAAATATTAAATAAAATAATTCATATAGAGTCTGGCACCTAGTGAGTAGAATAAACTTAGCTATTATCACCATCATCATCATTATCATCGCCACCACCACCACAGCATGATCTTTTAGGCTTTATCCCCCAGTAAACTAGGGGGGAAAGACACATAAACAGATGATTCCCATTTTTCTGCTGTGGTAAGTGGAACTCAGATGAGAGGCACTTCAGCCTAGAATTCAAGGAAGATCCCTGAGCTGAGTGAGAGTTGAAAGATGAGTATATTTAGCCAAATGAAGAAAGATGTTCCAAAGGGAAGAACTTGAGCAAAATCACAGGGAATGTGCTGTGTGCAGGAACTGGATATGGTTTGCTATTATTAGACATGAAGTTCAAGAGGGCAGTGGTGGAAAATGAGGCTTATGAGGAAGGTGAGGACCAGGTCATGGGAAGTCTTATATGCCACACTAAGATGAATGAATTTCTTTCTGTAGACCAAGTTTCCTAAGCCAAATTACATAAAGTACTAGTATTTATACATGTATCTCATGGCATGTTCTTGGTGTGCCTCAGAATAAGAGCTTGACTGTGACTTGTGTCTGGAAACATCCTCCATTTCCCCCTGCTTAGCGATTCACAGTGCATATATTAGCATAGTGTATGCTCTGAGGAGTCCCGCAATAAAGGGATCTCTTTATTGAAGTTTAGCCCAACATTTTTTAAATTGATTTTACACAGGATATCACTTTTGAAGGATGCTGGGAGACATTTTGCCAGATTTTAATCAAAGTAATGAATTGGACAGTTTAGCTTAGTAAGATCACTCTAGCTATAGAGATGGATTTTAAAGGAGCATAACTGGAAAGTATGACTAAGATGATAATGATCCAGGGTGGAGGAGATCGAAAGATTCAAGAAATGTGTAGGAGGTAAAATCTGTAAGTTTTACTGATAGAGTAGAATGAGGGAGTTGGCTGTCTACAATGATAACTACAGTTCTGGCTTGAGCCAAAAGAACAGCAATGCCATTCATTTCAAAAGCAATACAGAGAAACATGAGACAGGGGATGGAATGAGAGGTGGGTAAGATAAAGAACTTAGTTTGGGACATGATAAATGAAAACACCTAAGACTACCAAGTGAAATTATAGGTAGCAATTAAGTCAATAAATCATTATTTAGTCCCAGTCTAAACTAGGGTCTTCTGACAAATAATTTTGTCAATGAGATCAAAGTGGAGGTCTTTTGAGGATTTCTAAAAAAAGTTTTTGCCTTTCCGACAGGCGCTACCCCTTCCTTCTTGCAGCGTACCCCCTTCTCTGGTCCGGAGTGCTGATGCTAATGCCTGAAGCTACGCCACTTCTCTTATATTCATTAAAATGAAAGACATAGTTAAGAGGGCCACGGAGAAGACAGAACATCCCTGGGGTCTCAGTGGCATTCATGAGCTCTCAAACTAGCCAGTCTATCTTTGAAATTCTTGTTCTGTGAAAAATAAATCAATTGATCAATTAATTGATCGATGCTCAAGATATGGTTTGTCAGGTTTTGGGTTCCTTGCAGCTAGCTGAATGCAGTCCTACCTGACACACATCCAAACCAAAAAATATGATTTCCACATTCAAAGAGTACTTCTGACCCCCTCACCCATCTCTCAGACCTGTTCCCTTCCATCATACACATCTCAACTTCTACCTTCACCATTCATCCACGAGCTTAAGCAAAATAATTAATTAATTAATTAATTAATTAATTAAAAATCTAGGTATATTCTTGATGTCTTCCTTATGGCTCTACCTCTACTCTATACCTTTTAACCCATTTTCTTTTCTTCATTTTCACCATCCAACCAACTCATTATCATAGCCTACCAACGGCTGTCCCTACTACATCCTTGCCCCGCTGCAATCCAATAGGTCATCTCACTCCATGTTTTAAAGTCTGCCAGGTGCTTCCTATTTGACTTATAATAAAATCCAGATGCCTGCCGATGGCTTACGGAGAGCTCTGTATGATCTGACCTCATCGTGTACCCTTTTCTCACCTGCTCACTGCTCTCAAGCTATACCACCTTCACACTGTTCCTCAAAACCCCCAAAGGTATCCCCACCTCAGGGCCTCTGTACTTGCTGTGTCCTTGGCTCCCAGTGCTCTTCCCCCTGGATCTTCCCATGGTTGGCTCCTTGTTACGTTCACCTCTCAGCTCAAATATCACTCCCCTAGGGAGGCCTTCTCTGACCACGCCATGTCCTCGGTGATTGTCCCTGCACCCTGTGTTACTTCTTTCATATGCTTGACATTATCTAAAATTATCTGTTATTTAGTTGTTCGCTTGTTATTTTTCATCTCCCCGTCTAAATTATAAGCTTCATGACTGCAGAAACTGTCTGTCTTATTCGCTGTTCCATTCCCATGTCTACAACAACGTTTGGCACAGAGTAGGCCCTTGATAAATATCGTTTTTAATAAAGAGGTGAATTTTTAAAAGATAGCAACACAGTCTTGGACTCTTAGATATCTGCCAAAGTTTATGACTCTAACATATAATTTTCTTGTCTAAAAATTTAACAAGCAAAACAGAGTTTTAGATTTAGATAAAAGCTTATTCTAGCATACTTGACTCAGAAATAACCAAATGCACTTAATCCTATTAATTGTCCTCTATCACAGGTAAATATTTTTGCTTACCACATGTACTCTTTAACCTACTTATAGTAACATAATAAGGGATTAGAGCCTTGATACTAGCTGCCAAGTGTTATGTTTTTATATACAACAAGCCCTCGGGAGTTTGGAAGGGAGCCCAATAGACTCACAGTTCAAAGCTTCCAGATCCATTTACGTGTGGTAACGCTAAGGAAAGGCCATCCTTCAGGCTATTCCTATGGACAGCACAGAAAGCCAGGGATTTTTTCTCCAAACTCTTCAATTAGAATCCAGTGAAAATAAAGTGTGTAGGGAAAATGTTCAAAGTAATCAGCACAGTCCTCTTTAAAGGACAGATGCTTTCCGAACCACAAGGAGAAGAGTATACATTTCTGGTCAGTTCTATTTCTAGATGGTTTATTTAGCAATTTGGATATTTTATAGGGTTATACCAGTATTTTCATTAGTAAATTCTTCAAGTTGGAAGGAAATAGGAAAGAGTTTTAGACCACCACCCTTCCTAGCACTGCTGCAGAGCAAGCAGAAAGGCTCCGTTCCTGGGGCTCCCAAAGACACTGTCACGCTGCATCATGGACAGCCCAGGACGGGCGAGGAGAGTCTGCAGGTGCTGGGACCGGTCAGGGCACATACAGAACTCAAGGTGCTAGACAGCAACAAGGAACACTCAGAGAGCGGGAAACACTCTCTTCCCTTGGATCCTTCCATTTCCTCCTTCTCACCTTCTCAAAGTGCTGTCTGCAAAGTCCTGGTGATTCTTTCAGGGATCTGTGAAATCAAAACTACTTTTATAATAATGTTTAAAAAAATGATTTGCTTTCTCCACTACAAAGACATTTACATTGATGGTGCAAAAGTGATACTGGGTAAAACTGCCAGCGCCTCAGTACAAGTCAATGCAGTGGAATCAAACTATACCTAATAGTCACCATGTGCTTATCCACCACAAAGGAAAGAAAGACGAAGGAAGGGAGGGAGGGAGGGAGGGAGGGAGGGCAGGAGGGAAGACAGGTAGTTTTACTTAAGAATATCCTTGATGAAGCGTTAAGAATTGTTAACTTCATTAAATCTCAACATTTCAGTGAAGGTCTTTATAATATTTTGTGTGAAGCCCTGGCCGGTTTGGCTCAGTGGTTAGAGCGTCGGCCTGCAGTCCTGAGAGACCCGGGTTCGGTTCCCACTAAGGGCATGTACCTCGGTTGCAGTTTGTCCCCAGCCCTGGTCGGTTGTGCGGGTGGCAGCCACTCGATGTGTCCCTTTCACATCGATGTTTCTCTCTCTCTCTCTCTGTTCCTCTCTCCCCCCCCCCCCCCCACTCTACCTGAACAAAAAATGGAAAAATGTCCTCGGGTGAGGATAAAAAATAATAATAATAATAATAATATTTTGTGTGAAAAACTGGAAAGTGCACACAAGACACTCCTGCTCCTACTCCAGCCAGCTAGCTCAGTTGGTTAGAGCATTGTCCTGCACACCAAAAGGTTTCAGGTTCAATTCCCGGTCAGGGCACATACATAGGTTGCAGGTTTGATCCCTGGTCAGGGCTCATATAGGAGGCAACCAATGATGTTTTCCACCCCGCCCCCTCATTCTCTCAAATCAAGAAACATATCCTTGGGTGAGGATTTTTTTTAAAAAGAAAAATAGCACTTCTGCTGCATACTGAAGTAACATGGTTGTCTCCAGGAAAAATGCTTGTGTTATGGTTTGGGTTGCAAGCTGAACTAATTGCTTTTTTTTTTTTTTTTTTCATGAAATCTCATTTTTACTTGAAAGAAAACAACTTATTCAGATTCATGTATTTGGCCAATATTTTTTTTTTTTTTAATGAACAAAGTGAGGTTGTCACTTCAAAGAAAATATCTGGCAATATTTGTTGCCAAATAACCTTTAAGAAACTACCTCCTGCTGAAGTTTGGGGTAGCATCTACAATTATCCAAAATGACTATTAAAATACTGCTCCCTTTTCAACTATATAGCTCTGCAATGCCAGATTTTCTTCATGTTTTTCAACAGAAACATTTAGCAGATTGAATGCAGAAGCTGGTATGAATCAGCTGCCTTCTATTTTCAGACATTAAAAAAATTGCAAAAAATATAAAACAATGACATGCTACTCACATATTGTTTTTATTTTGGAAAATAAATATATTGTAATAAAAATGTTATTTATGTTACCTGTAATGGATTTATTGTTTTCAAATTAATTAATAACAAATATTTTAAATGTCTGTTTTGATTTCTAATAAGGTTCTTATTTATAGATAGAACTCCAATAAACAAAAGCTCTTTAGGATTCTTAATTTTTATTTATATTAAAAAAAAATTTTTTTTCCTTTATTGCTTTTACAGAGAGAGAAAGGGAGAGGGATAGAAAGATAGAAACGTCGATGAGAGAGAACATCTATTAGCCGCCTCCTGCACCCCACCCCCAATGGGGATCAGGCCCACAACCCAGGCATATGCCCTGACCGGGAATCGAACTGGCAACCTCCCGGTGCATGGGTCGACGGTCACCCACTGAGCCACACCAGCCAGGCAGATTCTCAATAATTTTTAAAAGTGTAAAGCAATCCTGAGACCAAAACCTGGTACACTTGACAGTTATAATAGAAATGTATAATAGAAACACATGGCAGAACTATGTAATAGAAATAGAAAAATGTATAATAGAAATCTAGAACCGAATGCAAATCCTACATTTCTAATAGCACAGATGAGATCATTTTTATTTCACCACAGAAGTGAGTTTCATTAAAGTAAAAATAAAAGCAGCAGAGCCCAGGTTTCTGCCTAGTATATCCTCACAGTGGCCTGTGGGAGTTAAAAAGCTGTCTGGGAGCAGGGCAGGTGGGCTGGGCCGGTGGCACAGGAAGGAGCCACAGTGACTGGACTGGGAAATGACAAAAGGCACAGTAGGATAAATCTCAAGTGCTTTCTATGCTAACTGGGCACGGAGATGAACAAGGAGGATGGACTCTGACACAAGATAACTTTTTTAGGTCAGCTGATGTTTTCCCTCCCCGCCTCCTTGGAGATTCTCATATGTGCTCCCTTGCTTCAGGGGACGTATTCAGGTAGGAATTCTTGAATTTTGTTTTCTAAAGTCTGAGGGCATTAGGGAGGATCTGTTAAATCTGGGGAGTAATATCCCCAGTCTAAAATAAATGTTTCTCTGGACTGAGGGAGGAGCCAAAGTCTAGGGTCCCCTGTGACCTTCCTTACTCCCTGCCAGAGCAAGGACACAGCAGGACCTCAGAGAGGCTGGCCATCAGTGCACCAAGAGGTGGAACACTGGCCTCGGCTTCCACAGCCACAACAGATCTCAAGCTTGACAAATATGGCACAAAGGTGGCAGAGAGGAGACTCGTAAAGGACTACAAATGGAGACACAGTGGCATCTCAACATAACCTGTGTAGACAGATGACTGATGCCTTCCTGAGCCTCTGACATGTTTCAGCTATGCTTGAGAACCTGAAATCTTGACACAGCCTCAGATGGGAAGCCCCAAGAATGACAAGTTGAATTTCTCACTAGCTCCTTGGAATAGGAATACAGAATCAAAATTAATTATTGAATTAAAAGTAGAGGATTATGCATATATTTGGTGGTAAAGAGGAATGAAGTACCGCTACATGCTACAACATGGATAAACCTTAAAAACATTATGCTAAACGCGAGAAGTCAGTCACAAAAGGCCACCTATTGTCATACCATATGATTCCAAAGATAAGAAATGTCCAGAATAGGCAAAACATGAAGAAGATTCGTGGTTGCTAGAGGAAATAAGAGATGACAGAGGAAAGCAGGATTTGGTTTGGTTTTGTTTGGCTGGATGTGTGCATATGATGAAAATGTTCAAAAATTTATTGTGGTGGTTACACAATTCTGTGCATGTATCCAAAAACCCATTAAGTTTTATACTTTACATGGTGAATTACATGGTATGTGAATTATATCCCAATAAAGCTGTTACCAAGAAAAGCAGAGATATAATATCTCTTACCTTCTGAGTTGTGTACTAAGATTCATACTCGTTTTATGTGCATGATGCTTTACAAAGTTAATTTATAAAGTTGTGTCAAGCTGACATGGTTACTTCTGAACACACTGTACAGCTCAGGACCTAGTCAACAAGCTCAAGGTACAGGCAGTGGGGGAAGGTACAGCAGAGGGCAGAAAACAGGCGCCAGAGAACATGTGATGGCAACAAGTGGTCCAGGCAAGTGGCCTGCACACCGCCAGGCACCATCTTGGAGAGTCACCAGGCCTGCAGCACTCAGAGGTGTGGAGGGCAGCCAACAGCAAGGCTGTCCTCAGCAGATTGCAAGGCTCCAACTCAGAGAAAGGCTCCAGTGGCAGGAATTCCACCTGGGGCGTGATTGTGGTGATGGCTGCAGCCCCAGAGAGACTGGGCAAGTTATCCAGGAAGGATCTGAGGCAACCAAGCAGGGACCTAACTAGTGTTAATAATAATATAATTATATAATTGATGTCATTTATGTATAATAATATAAAATATAAATCACTTAAGTTCTATGACCTGCCAGGCACGGTTACATCCACTTTACATTTTTTTAATTTAAATCTTTACAATAGCCCTCTGAAAGAGCTACTATTATTCTCCCCATTCTACAGATGAGAAAACTGAGTCACAGAAAGATGAGGTAACTTACCCAAGCTCACTAGTAAGAGCAGAGCTGAGATTAAAACACGGACAGTACTGTCCCAGGGGCCATCTTAACAACTCTACCATTACTGCATTTAGGGTGGAGGCCCACTTGCCCCCAGCTGAGCCAGCAGGACCAGCGGAACCATGGTTGATGTTGAATCCCCCTCAGCACTGAACCAGAGGTCTTCAAGCCCTCTCCACAGAGAAGGACTCGTTCTGAAGCTGCGGCTGGGGCCAAGCCTGCAGGCAGAGGTTATGTGATGACCACTGTAGAGAGAAGCAGGATAGAGAATCAGGCAGCTGCTGACACACCTCTTATATCTTTTCATTTTCAACATAGTACTATGAGATAGATATTATTTTCTTCATTTATAAATGAGAAATTGAAGCTCTAAGAGTTTATGCAGTTTGGCTGATGACCCAGTAACCAATAGAGACAAAATAGGGTCCTAGACCTTCTGATCCCAAGACGGAAGCCTGTGAACTGGCTTTTGGAGACTAAGTGAACCAGCAAGTGAACCGGCAAGTAGACTAACGGAATGGTTAAAAACCTGTGCCTAGTGGCCACACTCCAGCTATGCCAATCACCCTGTGATCTTGAAAGAGCTACTTAACTTTTTGGTGTCTTAGTACCTTCATCTATAAAACAGGTTTAGTAATAACAATAATGTCTACCTCCTGGATTGCTATGGGAATTCGATGAACCACTGTATGTGCGAAGATCTAACAGACGGTTCAACATATAGTGGTAGGTGCTCGATAAGTGGTAGGTGATCTGAGCAGGCATTTTTCTTATTGTACTGCTGAGAGCAGACAAGCTCTGGAGCAGCCCAGATCTTTCTCCTGAGCCATTTTATCCCTTGTCTCAGAAAACATCCATGCTGCAAGGAACATCAGAATTGATTTAACCTCATTCTCTTTTTTAACAGAGGAGAAAATTGGGGGTAAGAGATGTTACATGAGTTGCTCAAGCTAGTTATCAGGAGAGCAAAACTAGATCTTTTATTTATTTATTTTATTTTATTTTATTTTATTTTATTTTATTTTATTTTATTTTTGGTACGTGCCCTTAGCGGGAATGGAACCCGGGACTGTGGTCCACAGGCCGACGCTCCAACCGCTGAGCCAAACTGGCCAGGGCGGTCTTTTATTTTTGTAATTTAAAAATATTAAAGCTGTTAGGACGAACTAGAAAAGAAGAAATGTTAATAGAAACAGAATTGAGACATCAGGTAGCGCTTCAATCAGGGTTGTAACTTACTAGGAAAAGAAGACCGGCCACGCCTGAGAAAAACAGGGTGACTAATGGTCTGGGGGGCCTCCCTCCCTCTGTCTGCATGCACAGGGAAGGGACACTTCCCCAGGAATCGGGAAGTATTGCCTTCAGATATTCACTCCATATCATCGCATCCCTGCCCTGTGGTGTCATCTGTACTGAACAAAGGAAGCTTGACCTTGGGTGATACACAAGAAAAGTTAACAAAAGAATGGGAACTGGAGTCTTGAAGAGCATGTGGTAGGTATGTGATTAGTGTTAGTAAAAGGATCAGAGAGGCAGGAAAGAAAAAAGGGAAAAGTCCTTTTTATATCACTTGAGTGGGTTGCCTTTAACATGCTAAAAGACTAGCTGAGAAGTGAATGAAATTAACAAGCAGGTGTTAGATGGGGGTGCAGAAGATTAAGGTGTATTGAACTGAGCAGATAATAAAGAGCTTTGAGAATGAGGTTTGAAGAAAACAAATGTGTGTGTTTGCACATACACACACACATATATTTAGCTGAGAATGCTTGCCCTCTCCCTTTGCAGTTAACTTAAGAGCTGCCCTCAAAGGCAAATTAAATCGTGTCCATTGTGCTATTTACAAGTGTCGGGGGTGGTTCTGGGGCATGATGGGAGATACAGTGGGAGTAGGACAGGGCAAGACAGTTAAGGATTATTCCAAGCAGAGATTCCAAACTGAAATTGCTGGATCCACCTGCTATGCATTAATTATGCAACAATTACTGTCTGTTAGCGGCACTGCTGCATCTTTTAAGAGAAAGAAGTACATTTGGGAAACATTTGACAAATGTAGTCACCAAAGAAAGGTTAGAATTTTGTTTTGTTTTTCAAACCACATATTATTAAAAGAAACTAACTTTGCCCCATTTAATAAAAACACATGGAGTGATTATCAGGCAAAAAAAATCCAACCCAGACTTCAAAGCTTTTCCATTGGCTAGAATCAGTGTTCCTGTTCTGTTTGTATTTTTAAGTACCTGAGTGATATTCATTTACGCCTTGTTTTGCATAGATTTGCATTTCGGGTCAAAGAGGCACTTGGTACAAATATGCAAAGGAAAAATGCAGTTAATCTTGCAAACTACCCACTAACACCATCAGCTGTGACATCAGACACTAATAAGATTGACCTCAAAGATCACTGGTCTTCCTGGAGTGTCTTCCGACAGAACCACAAGCATTGTGGGAAAAGGGAATGGTCCCAACATTGAGGAGAGCTGACATAAATTATAGGTGATGCAGAATTCCAGTCTAAATCCGCACCCATTCTGAGGAATGATGCACACACGTTCACCAAGCCAGATGCTACCGTTCGTTGCCTGCAGGCTAGAGCCACAGGTTCCCAAACAGAAGGTGCTGAAGTCAGATGTTCTGCTCAGCTGGCAGCTTTCTTTTCTTGTGGAGACATCCTTGGGGAAGTCCGATTTCTGTCTCCTTATATCTTACATATTTGGAATTCTGACAGTGCTCGTCCTTCTGTCGTCACAGAACCTTTGCAAGCTCACCAGCAACCCTTTCGAGCCGTTATCTCCCTCACCTTTTTCGGATTGGATTTCACTTTGGTGGGCAACTATTAATGTGTGTCCAGGAGCTCCTGGGTTCACAGGGTTTTGCAGGAATTTTCTGTGTTATATTCATCTATGCGTTTATTTTTATTTTATTTTTTATCCTCACCAGAGGACATCTTTCCATTTTTTTGTTCAGATAGAGTGGGGGAGAGAGAGAGAGAGAAGCATCATTGTGAAAGGGTATGTGTTTGTTTATTTATTTATTTATTTATTTATTTATTTATTTATTTATTTATTTATTTATTTTTGTCTGTTTACACCATTGCTTTGACCATTTCAGTTATTTGGGGGAACTTATATTTAAACACACATCCACAGCTAGACTTATAAGCACCATTTGCATAATGTTATCTAGTCTCTTTCACATTTTAAGTTGCCTTGGACACATAAATACATGTACAAGTAACTGGCATGTCATCTCCGCATACCGCTGTTAGCTATGTTGGTCTACCTCTAAGAAAAATGTTGTCAACGGTCTCTTGCTTCTGAAGTAAAGTAGGGAGGAAATCAGTGGCAACTCGTGCTAAAGGGAGGATTGGAATTGGAGCCGTCATAAACATCATTAGATCTCACCTCATCCCATTCACTTCTGGAGCCAAAATGCCTAAGCAGCGAGAACCCCCCTTAGCAGCAAGGTTCTAGAGTCCAAAGGTATGAGAAAGGAACAAGGGGGTAATATTTTCCCTTCTGATAAAGGGTGAAGATTTAGAGGGAAGGGGACATGGACACTAGTCTGCAGGCCTCAGAAGGGGCTGTAAGAAAAGAATGGGGGATTGAGGAGAGAGAGACCAACAATTCAGAAGACCTTCTTCCCAAAACCTCGATCCTGTGAGGTCCGGCTTCTGGGGGGTTTCAGCAGCAAGGGCCTTGAGTTCCAGTTGCTGCTGCTTCTGTTCCTTCACACTGCGCTGTTCTATCTGAAACACACCTGGCTCTAGAGCCCAAGTCTCGGGGCAGAAAAGAACAATCTCCAGATACTGCTGAACAGTGAAGCCTTTGATGTAGTGATAAAGGAGGCCCAGGGGCCCCGCCCCTCACTAGACCTGAGTAGAATAGTTCCTCCATCTTTCTTGATGGAGAAGCTCCGTAATTAAGCACTTTGGTGGTTCGTGTAATACTGAATTCTTCCTGAATCTGCACAGTGCTGTCTTTCCATTTTCAGAGTCCTCGGAAGCTAATCTTCAGATTCTCAGAATTTCAAAATCTGCAAAGTTCCTAGGAGGCATCAAGGAAGGGAGAGGTGTTTATCTACTGCTATTCTTTAGGATTATAGAATTTCTTTGCCCAAGTTTTCTTTAAAATATCAGGAAATAAAAAGATTAAGGGTCAATACAGGAATGCCCCCAGGACAAACCATAATCCAAAAATTAAAACAAAACCCAAACTCATTTGGGTTACACAAATGGAACACACTTATAATATCTTAAGTCAAATAGTGACCTGACTCGATGTAAGATAAAGTGCAAAAAGGAAGGACGTTGTTTTTCCAAATGAAATGTGCTTCAAAATCACCTGTGGGACTCGCTAAAAATGAAGATCACAAGATGCCAACCCCTGAGATTCTGGAGTGGGGCCCCCTAAATCTATTTTTTTAATGAGCACTGCAGGTGAGCTTATCACAGGTGGTTCGGTAAATCAGTTGTTGAAAGACACCGGTATTTCAAAAGAACCTCAGTTCTCACCTTCTCCACATGCTCTCCTTTCGCTCTCCCACTCCACTGAGACAGCTCTCATCAAGGACACCAGTGACCTCCATGTTCCCAAACCCATGGTCAATGTTTAAGCCTCGTCTTGCTGGCCCTAAAGGCAGTACTTTACACTGTTGATCACTCTCTCCCCTTGAAACACTTTCTTCGCTTGGCTTGCAAGGCACTCGCCTCTCTTGGTTCTTTCTCCTTACCCACTTTTAATTACTCTTTCTTAGTCTTCTTTGCGGACCTTGTCTTCTAGTCTCTAGACCTTGGAGTGCCCCAGTTCAACCCGCAGGTATTTCCACTTCTCTGTCTACACGCACTTCTTCAGTATTTTCATCCAGTCCATCGGTTTTCAATACCCTATTAATTCTGGGAATTCCCATATTTGTGTTTATAATCCACTTCACTTTCTTGAGCTCCAGACTTATATATTCTATTGCCAAGTCATCATTCCACTTGGATGTCTAGTTGGCATACATTAACATGGACAAAAACCCTCATTTATACCCCCCTCCTCAAAACCTACTCCACCAGTATTTTTCAGCTTAATAAACTGTAACTCTAGCCTTCCACTTGCTAAGTTAAAATACCTTGGAGTCATCGTTGACTACTCACCTTTTCACATTTCACATCTAAATCATCAGCAAATCCTGTCAACACCACTAAGAAACATATCCAAACTCCAACCACTCTGTGCCATTTCCAACGCTATCACCCTGGTTT